TTTTTTTTTTTTTTTTTTACTATGAGAATGTATATTATGAACCCAAAATGGAACTAGTAAGATGGTGGATGACATGCTCTGTGTCCAGTGGGTAGTGATGATCAGGATGGTGCTAATCGTAAAAAGCATTCATTTAAAAAGATGGGGGTGGGAGGAGCAGATAGTGAGAGAGCCAACCTGTAATAAAAATAATTAAAAATAATAATACACCCTTGTATAGGACTCACTGCAGGCCAAGCTCCATTTTAAGCACTTTGGACTCATTTAATCTCCATCGCAATTCCGCTGAGGGCAAGGTCCTGAGGCCCAGCTGTCAGCTGTGGATCCCTCGGTTTTGGAACATTCCAGAGCTCGACCAGTCTCCGGAACGGATCCCATTCGGAAACCGAGGGACCACTGTATTTTAGTGCAAAACAACCAACATGCGTTCACCAGCTCTGTGCATCCTCATCTGTAAAGACGGGTTGGCTTCAGAGAGCTCTCTTGTGTCCTCCAGCGAGGTTCTGACACCTAGGGATCCATGCCCCCCGATGTGGCTTAGCTGGTCGGCTGCTAATCAGAAACTGATCCGAAATCAGGAAAAAGATGGATCGAAATAAATAATCTGCCTTCACGTGAGCTCTTTGATGAGCGCGGCTTGAGAAAGGACAGGTGCAGTCTTTCTAAAGAGAATGGAGGAAATTTATCCTAGAAATAAAAATGTGACCCCTGTCGACCAACACCCCAAGTTTAGATGGGTTGTTATGTGTCTCAGTCCCCCAAGAAGAAATCGGGGCCACTGGCCATGAGCAAAGCTTCACAAGGTAGAAATGTCGCCGGACCCACTTATGTCCGTAGTAAAAGCTGAATGATGCCATGGACTTTACATATATGAGCTTCAGCCACAGATTTAATGGTCTCTCAAGAGATCTTGAAGTCAAGGGAGAGAAACAGAACAGGAGGCCTGAAGCAGGCTCTTCTGCTTGCGGATGGCCTTGAGAGTGTGTGTGTGTGTGTGTGTGTGTGTGTGTGTGTGTGTGTGTGTGTGTCCAACATCCCCATCAGTGCCTTGGATAGAGACACAAGTAGAATGTTGATTATGTCTGCAAATGACACGGCGCTGAGAGGGATGGTTTAATAAGCCAGGTCATGAGAAACACTTCAAAAGCATCTTGATGGCCTAGAAAGATAGGAGAGAAATAATGAAATGAAATACAGTAAAGATGAGCTTACTTCCTGCACTGAGCCCTCCCCGCTCCCCAGAAATCACTTAGTAAAACATGGAAGACTCCTGAAGTTATGAAAAAGACACGGGGGAAGGGGGCGATGGTTTCGTGGAGAGCTTGATATGAGCCAGCGTTATGTGGCGGCTGGCTTCTAAAGAAACGCAATACTGAGATACGTCAGTGACAGAATTTTGTACAGAGCAGGGCGGACACTCAGACCCCATGGCCATCCCAGGCACCTCATTTAAAGATGGGTATTCATCTTCTGAGGAGAAGACCAGATAGGCAAAGACCCAGATAGGAAAAATCCAAAGACCGGGGAATATTTATCCAGAAAAAGGTAGGATTTCAGAGGAGAGAACCCGTTTTCTGTCTTTGTCGATGGCTGCAGGAAGGAGGGGTTAGGCCTCGAAGAGGTTTGCTCAGCAGGCCGAAGGAGACCAGTGAGGGAGAGGGGGTCTCAGTTCCCTGTGGGCAAGAACTTCCTGATAATTGGAGCCCCTAAAAGAGGAATGGCCACGCCCAGGCCGGGTGGCTCAGCTGGAGCGGCGTCCTGCGCACCTGAAGGCGGCTGGTTTGATTCCCGGTCAAGGCACATTCCCAGCTTGCAGATTCCATCCCAGTCAGGGCCCGTGCGGGAGGCAGGGATCGATGTTCCTCCCTCTCTCCCCCTCTCTCTCTCAAATCAATTTTTTTTTATTTTAATGGTAATTTTTTTTTAAAGGCTTACTATGGAAGATAGGGTAGCATTTAATCATAATCACTTTTTAAAAGATGAGTGGCCACTATTTTATTATGGAGAGCTTTCAACAAAGGCTAAATGAAAATTTGCCCTGTACTCTGAGGAGTTCTCTCAATTGAGTGAAACCAGATTCGATAGAGCCTTAACCCACTGACAATAATTAGTTATGATTTGAGTAATTTTCTTTTATTTAAAAAAAAGGTGAGAAATGCAGTAGTAAAGTAGAGAAGGTTCTGTCCCACGTGAGAACCGAAAGGGCCATTATACCCGGGGCTCCTGACCTCCTGTGCGTTACGGACGTGCGTGGGGTGGATTCGGAAGCTCGCCGGCACCCACTGCGCATCGCTGCACTGCAAGCGCCGTGCTGTTAGGGGGCCCCTTGTTCAGAGTGGCGGCGTTCATTTTCATTTGCAGAAGTTAAATCTGAGCCCTCGTTTTATTAATTTCTTCAAAGCATTTGTGCCATTATGGTGATTCATGATAATTAACATCATAATGAAGTAGATCTATTCTGTAATAAAAAGGCACTAATTCCTCTGTGTCACTGAGACGCTGTCAGGAGAGAAGTTGAATACTAATGGGGGCCCGTGACTGCTTTACCCACCATCGCTATTTGTCAGTGGCAGCGTCTAGGGTGGCAAAATTAGAAGTGAACGTCTATCCATTTGAATTTAATAAAGTTTGTAATCATATTGTGTATTGTGATCTAAAATGTGAATAATATGATCTGTTGATAAGAAATCCTTGCCCCGGCCGGTGTGCCTCAGTGGTTGGAGCATCAGTCTGTTCCCCAAAGGGCCAATCCCTGGCCCCAGTTGGGGCACATGTGGGAGGCAACCAGTCAATGTCTCTCTCTCACATCAGTGTCTCTCCACCACACACCCCCCCCAGCCTTCCACTCGCTCTAAAAATCAGTGGAAAAATATCCCTGGGTAAAAATGAACAAAACGAAAAAAAGAGAGAGAAAAAAGTTATTCTAGGGCTTTCCAGAACTTTCCGGAACTTTGGCCGAGGCTCCTCACACAGCAGGGAATGACATACTTGTATCTTCCTTGATAAGGTGGTGTAAGTGGTAGGTATTCTATCACCTGGATATTTTCAGCCAGGGAGTTAGGAGTAGAACAGACGTGTGCACTTTCTGGGCTAGAACATATCGTGGCTGATGCAAGAAGCTCTGGAGTCCTCTGTCCCTTTGGTGTGGTGACTGGCAGACCCGAAGACAGCGGCTGTTCCATCAGCCTGGTCCCTCTGTGACCACCATCAACAGGGAACCCTGTCGACTCATGACGAACCTCTAGCATAGAAAGGAAAAGGCCTTTGCTATGCTAGGCTACGATGGGGCTATTTGTCACTGCGGCACAACCTGTCCTGTCCTGATTGGAACCTAGGATTGCAACAACAGCAGCCTTTGCCGTGGCACATGTGGGTTTGCACTCTTAGTCTGTTAGTTACAAACTGTACAACTTGGGCAAGTCACCTTCCCTCTTGTGCATTTTGTTTCCTCATGTATAAAAGAGAAGTAGTAACAGTCCCTACTTTACAGGACTCAACAAAATGATACATTTTACAAGCAGCACAGGGTCTGCCACATAGTAGGTGGGTAACTACAATAGTTATTGTTATTCAGTTGTAACTAAACAAGAACGTAGCCATCAGTTGTCATGTGCGCGGCGTTTTTTTTGTCATTGGAACGTCAGTGCTGTCCAAGACGGGCACAGTTTCTGCCTTTAGAGGCTTGTGTTCCAGCCAGAAGAGAGGAGAAGACCGTGGAAAGGCAACTAGAGTTGCACGGACACGTGGCAGGGCACGTGGGAGATGGAAGTACAGGATTCTTTGGGAGCAGGAAGGAAGGGCACTTGACCCAGCCCAGGAAAAGGGGGAAGGCATGCCAGAGGAAGTGACGTAGAAGCTGAGACCCGAATGCGAGTTAGAATTCTCTAGTAAAGCGACTGCGCAGAGTGGAGGGCGGAAAGAGGAGGGGTCTTTCCATACAGCAATCCACCCAACACGTGGTGACTTAAACAGTACTCCGTTATCTCACCCAATTCTGTGGCTGCCTGGGCGGCACTTCTGCTCTATGCGGTCTCAGCTGGGCATCAGGATGACTGACTGGATGGTCTAAAGTGGCCTCAGCCACGTGGTCGCCCAGGAGCTTAGCTGACGCTGTCAGCCAGGAGCCTCAGTCCCCCCCCCCCC